ACATGCACACACATGCACACACACACGCACACACACACACACACACACGCACACACACAGCACTCAGTTCTGTAGACCCTGCAGAACTGAAGGCAGCCGGAGCCCCAGCCGTGAGCTGCTGTCTTCCTGGTGTCACTCAGTCACTCAGCAAGGCTGGACCAGCTGCCATAAATCCCTTGTTCCAGTTTCCTGATTCTGTAGCCTTGGGCAATAATGAGCCTCATCTCCTAAGTGCCCCTGCCGAAAGGTGTTTGCAAGCCTTCTTGGAGAAGGGAGGTTGTGCCCTGCCGGTGGCCCTGGGAGTCTGCAGGAACCGGAGCTTCTAATCTTGCTCAGGGTGTGCATGAGAGTGTGGAAGTACAGCAGGAAATCAGATGTCTGTGTTCAGATGATGCCTCTTGCAGCTAAGGCAGCCAGAGAGGGCCCACAGGGATGGCATGTTTTGTGAGGAAAAAATTCTCCAAGAACAATGTTTATAAAACCCCATCTTGGCGATCATCATGTGTTTCTGCCAGCTTCTGACTTGCTTCCGTTCATGTTCGTTCTTTTTCTTTCTACAGGCCGTGGAGACCAACCTGGCTTCCAAGGACAGCCACTGGGTCTTTGTGAACGAGGTAAGAGCCCCAGAATGGTGAGGGGCACAGCTTGGCCAGAACCCCCTGCCCCTTGGGAAAGCTCAAGTCCAGTTCTGACTTGCGGGGAGCTGGGGTGAATCCTGGGTCTCCACCCTGCCAAGGCACAAGGTCAGAGAGTTGAACTTGACCTGCGAAGATGCTCACCTGGGAAAGAATCCATACCTGAGTCCATGAGGAAGTCAAAAGTGAAAGGGACATGGTGTCAGGTGCTAGGTGTGCAGGGCGCGGTGAGGCAGCCAATCGGGGCTGGGGGATGGAGAGATTAGAGTGGTTAGAAAATGGGGTGCAGAAGGGGTGCAGCAAAGGAATGAAGAAGGGATAGAGGTGCGTTTCATGCAGGATGTTAAGGGTACGAGTGAGGGCTATGTGACTGTACAGAAGTGTAAGCAGCAGTGTGTGTGCGTGGGTGTGTATATGTCAGTGTGAGTGAATGTGAGTTGTATGTATATGAATGTGTGTGTGTGGATGTGTGTATGGGTGAGTGCATATGTTTGTGTGAGGGGTGTGCATATGTGAATGTATGAGTTGTATGTACATGTGAGTTTATATGTATGAGTGTATGGATGTGTGAGTGTGTGGGTGTGCACATGTGTGTTGTATATGTGTGAGTGTGAGTGTATGAGTTATATGTGCATCGTATGTGCGTGAGTGTGAGTGTATGAGTTATATGTGCATATGAGTGTATGAGTATGTGTGTATGTGTGTGTACACGTGAGTTGTATGTGCATGTGAGTGTATATGTGTATTGTGAGTGTGCATGTGTACAGATGTGTGTTTGTGTGTGCAGCTGGTGGGGGTGTGGATCAGTGTACCCATTTAAAGGGGGTGAATAGCACGTCTCTTGCATGACTGGACGTTGCATGAGTTTGGCCCCAGGGAGGAATGGGAACATGAGTCGTCATCCTGGCCTGGCCTCGCCTCTTCACTGATTGCACCGGCCTTGCACTGGAGTGGTCGGAATCACATGCCTTCCCTAAGCTTTCCCTGAGAACCTGCTCTGCCCACGTGTCCATTCAGGAAGCACTGACCAGGGCAGCCCTATGACTGAGAGCTGCCTGGAGAACGTGCTTCCTGGGGTGTGCATTCATCAGGACTGTGGCCACAGCTGCTCCTAAATTAGCTGGTCGATTTCTAATGGTTTCATTCTGAAAGATGCAAGGTTTATTATGCAGGCAGTTTATTCTTTTATGATGTGTGTTTCTCCATTAGCTCAGTGCTAATATGGCTGAAGTGGTTTTGGGTGGCTTATTTTAATAATCATGCAGATAATATCAGATAGAAACTACTTGAAAGGTCCACTTTTCATGGTTTTCCTCTGTGAATTCACATCTTATTAGCTCCACGTCTACACAGGCCAGTTGGGGACATGCTTGGTAACCGTCCATTTACCTTTGGGTGTGGATGGTTGTGCTGGTGATTAGGAGAAGGCACAGGACCGCCGTCTCCCTGGTTTTCAGAGCCTGCGTGAGGTCTCCTTGATCCTCAGGCAGTTTTGATTCTCTGGGCTCTGCTGGCTTCACAGGTTCTTCAAAGTCCAATTTCCTTTGTTCTGGAGAAAGGATGTATTCCGCATGCCCCTGAAGTCAAATGTCTGGTTTACTTTTTTTTGATGACGCCTCCAAACTGGATAGCCAGCGTTTCTCTGTTGCCAGTCTTCAAAAAAGTGCTCTGTTTTACATTTCTAACCTGTTTCCTTTTCCCTCCCCTGAATCTGCACCTGTCCCCAGGGGTCTTCTGTCTGTCTCTTCTGACTCCCTCTCCAGGGCTGGGGTTAACTTCAGCCTGAAGGCACCCCCAGGGCATTTCATACCCGCAGGCACGCTGGCATTTCTGGGGCAGCCAGAACCCAGGGCTTCTGTCTGTCTCTTCTGACTCCCTCTCCAGGTCTGGGGTTAACTTCAGCCTGAAGGTACCCCCAGGGCATTTCATACCCGCAGGCACGCTGGCATTTCTGGGGCAGCCAGAACCCAGGGCGTGGCATCACCAGGAGTCAGATGTGGGGTACCTGTCAGAGCCAAGCTGGAAAAGCCTTGACTAAGACGATGGCTGTGCCCCCACCAGGATTGGCAGCGCGCCCTGGGCCAGCCAGGCAGTACATACCAATTGTGCGAGTAGCTCTGAGCTAAGCGTGTCCTCCTCCAGAAGAGAGGGGCCCCAGAAGCATTGGCCTCCTCCTTTCTTGGTTTCCTTTTCTACAAGGAGGCGCCTCCCCTTGACCACCTGTTACATGCCAGATGCCTGTTAGTGCCCTTCACACTTGTCACGTTCCTTAGTCCTTACCCCCAACCCTACTTGGCATTTGCTATTCCCATTTTACAGAGTGGAAAATGGAGGCACCAGAGGTTAAATCACTTACACAAGGTCATGTGGCAATTAAATGGTGCATCTGGGATTCTATATGAAGAAACCCTTCAAAACTTTTTCTACCAAATGACACCATCATGCATGTGGCCTTGGCAAAGATGCTTAACTCATAACCAGGGTCTGATTCAGTAAAGACAGTCAGTAGGGCTCTGGTATGCACACTGATGGGGACACTCTTGGGCTGGCCTTTAGTACCAGCTCATAGTACGAAGTCTGCCATCCAAAGGTAAGGCTTCCTGTAAAGCTTTGACCCACAGATCCCAGAGCAGCCTCTGATTAATGACTGAGGTGTTCTTTAAATTACATGCAGACTCACCCTTAGGAACCAGCTATATTCAGAACTACTGTTTCTGGTTACAACATGGCCCACTGAAAAAAATAAAAAAGTACTGTTATTAAAGTATTATGTCATTTTAGGCCCTGCAGATTTTTTAAGCTATCTAAATGCAGAGCCACAGACAAGTAGTTTTCCAGTTGCCTGTTTGCCATATATGATGACTAGAGATAAAGTAAGGCAAAAAAACAAGAGTTGGGGGCAGGCATTTGGTGGTTTACCTTCCAACATCGTCTCTGAAATTCAGCTGCTACTCTGAGTCCTCGTCTTCCCACTTCCTGCAACTGTTCCCCACTTCTCTGGAGGAAGTTCAGCCCCTCGAGGGAGCTCAGGTCTGTGCCTCCTCCCCCACCCCCACCACATGTGTCTTTTTGACTTCAAGGTGGCCCTCTAGCTGTGTCCCCCTGATCCATCCATTTCTTCTTTCTGTCCTCCAGTTTCCCATCTGTATTTGACTTGCTTAATGTGTTTTCCTGGATCCAAGATAAGCTCTCAAGGGCACGTGTTTTTGTTTGCTTTCTTTATGCTGTGGTTTTCTTAGCCTATCCACCCCTCCCCGGTGAGCACTGGTGTTGCATATTACAGACCTGTTTATTTGGAGAAGAAGCAATTCGATGCAGAGGAAGCCTTGTGAGTCTGTGAGCTGCGCTGACAGTTTCTACAGGTCTCTGGGCTCCACTGTGGGGATCTTGGCAAGCAGATGTGTTTTGGGGTATAAACTATAATTTCATTGATTGATCAAGTTACAAGTTACCTAGAGGAGGGTGGGAGATTCAAAAAAACTTGTGAAAAACAAAATGAACCATTAGTCAAGGTGGCCACTGGACTGTGAGTCCCTTGATGGCATGGCCAGATACAGCTCATCACTGAATCATCAATGCCCTTGGCAAAGGATAGATTCTTAAAAGGTTTGGTTGAAGGCAGGTCGATGTATGTGGTGTAAAGCAAATCACATAGACAGGCACTTACCGGTCTGCCTCAGAGAAAAGACAAAGGCAACAAATTATGACGGGAGCCTTGGAAATGGAGGGGACCATTCGGGGTTGTTCACCAGAAGCTGCTGGTTCAAGGCCAGTCGGACCTGACTCTGGATGAGCTGGGTGGCTTCCAGAACCTCTGAATCAGCTGGGCAAAGTGCTTCCTCTCCATGTGGCCTGTGGCAGATCTCTGTGGGTCCAGTCCCTGCTGGTGCAGTGACTCACAGGCATCCTGGTACTGGCTGGAGCCTGGACGCAAAGGACAATGCCCGCCCTCCCTGTGAGACTCCGCATCCAGGCGGGAGCTGTGTGCCTCATCGTCTGGCCTCTTGAGAACTTTCTGCAGGACATTCTTGTATGGAATACGCAATATGACTCTGCAGCCTCCTGCAGAACCAACTGTGATGGGGACTGGAAGTGCTCCATTTGCTGCTGGGCAGCTCTCTGTTAGACTCGTTCTTCCAGACATGGAACCAAAGCACACTTTGATGGGAATGGCTTAAGATGCTTAACAAGCAATGCAGAAGTGGATGCATTATCTTTGCAATTGGGCTTTCTGAGCGACCGGGGCTCTGAGTGGCGATCTGTGGGCCAGCTGGGGTCTGAGAGGAGGTGGGCTCTAAGGGGGGGGGAGGCACAGTCTACAGAACTTGGCACCCCTCCCCCATTGTCAGCATGGGTGAATAACCCCCGTATCCCAGGTCCATTTCAGACCGTGCACATGAGCTCCAGACTCAGAGCTCCAGCCGCCTTCTTGACTCAGCTGCTCATCACCACCTTAAGCTCAGTGTGCCTCTTTGAACTCAGTGTCCTACCAAACCTGGTTTTCATTCAGTGCTCCGGATCTCAGAGACCACTGTCTCCATCCTTCTGGTTGGTTCCTCAGCCAATGGAGAAAAGTCCATACCATGCAGCCGGCCCTAGTCTGCTCTAGGAAGACCCTGTACCCACCTTGGCACTCTCAGTTACCTCTTACTGTTCCACTCACTATCTCAGGGCTCCTCCCTGCACGTGGATCAGCGACTTCGTATTTCCCATATTGATTTTCCCCTCCTACCTCTGGGCTTTTGCCAGGATTTTCCTTTCTAGCTGCTATGCCCTTCTTGAATCTCTGATCATCTAGGACTTACCTTTCCTGCAGAGGTCTGCGAAACATTGTCTCTGCCAAAAGGACTTCCCGGATTTCCCCAGTAGAGTTACTCTCCTGCTGTCTTGTGCTCCTCACCCCAGTTCTGCTGTGTTGGGGGGTAGACTCACATGCCTGATTCTCTGGATGGCTGGTAGATGGGGGCCTGGCTCCCCTT